CTCTTTAATGCTAACCAAAGCTACAAGAAACCATTACCTAACCACTATCTGGCTAAAACATGCCTAAACAGCACCCAGTGGCTCTTAATCATTATTGGTGCTACCACTACTGGTTCTGTCTCTGGCAGCAGATCAGTGTCCTCTTCACCAGATGCTTGACTATGTCCATCAGCTGTCTGAGGCGAATGCAGTTCATCAATGAGGTCACAAAAGACAAGCAGGCGCGCCAGCCTTTGGTCCTCCAGATCCCTCGTTTACTTCTCAAGTCAACAATGAAGTCAAAGAGTTCCACATCTGTCGCTTCCATGCTTGGAAAAGCTTGTCCCACCTCTTCTTGGCATGATACTGCAAGCTTGTACAGTAGATCTTTGTTGGCAGAGCTGGTCAGCCAATGAAGCCGTTGTTGGATGTCCCATCACAATTCTTGTACAGTGGCCATCTGTGTATATATATGTATATCATAAGTCTGTCGCTTAGTCCATCAGCTCAGGAAACAGGGAATGAGGATACCGCAGAACTTGGAGGATTAGCACCAGTCCACCAGGAGGCGCCAAAATCTGTTGCCTCCCTAGATTGATGGCCAGGGTGGCAGTAGGTCCTTCAATCTGACTGTGATAAAGAATACACACACATTGAGGTGGTGTTAACTTCAAGGCAGGAGGATTTATTCTGCCTCTCCAAACATACTTCAGGTATCAAACATGTCACTGGTAACATATGACCTTTGGTGTAGTCTCGTTCTTAAGGCTGTTTCACAGCACTGAGCTAGTAACAGTTTCTTCATATGTTCATTTACTTCATAAGACTGTTACTCTACTATGGCTACTTCAAACATATTCACTTCAAACATAGTTTGAATCCAAGTCCAAGAAATAATAAATGCATAGGCCGAAACTGTCTCATCATGGATTGTTGTTAGTTTGGCCCCGCTGAATCGTGGGGCTGAAGAATTCTCGCTACTCCTCTCCCTCCACGAATGGCTCCAGTCGGCCTGCAGAATCCACGGTTTTACTTTTATTGACAATTTTAATTTGTTCTGATACCGTTCGTCCTACTTCAGGGCTGATGGGGTCCACCCCAACAGACAAGGAAGCCACATGTTGGCTGCTAACATCCAGCACGCTGTGCAGTGTGCTCCACGTGATTGTTTACACCTCACACCCCCTCTCTGCATGCATGCTCTCACTCTACCCCAACAGCCGCAGAGATAAGTCCTCCATCTAGCACTGCCCCCCCCGCTGCCCCTTACCACAAAAGACACATTCAGCTGTCAAACTCATCCCACCCAGAGGCCCATAGTGACGGTGACTGTCCCCAGACCATTTGGGGTGATTAAACCAGACTGAATAGAGGAGGGGCTGTGGAGTAGAGCCTTGCACAGGCCCAAAACTCCGACAGACAGTTTAAGCTAACATGAAACTAGGTTGTTTCTAAAACAGGATTGACAGCGCTGCAGCAGCTTCAGAGAAATCACACATTCACCTCCCAGCGTCTCATGAACAAGAACTCATTGTGAGAAATGGTTCACATTTTTCTTTTGTTTTAATTATGTGGCCAGGCCAGGAATGATGAGGCCAAACACACAATACATTTTATGGGTTTTTATTTCCTGACTGGACTCAAATGAGAACAGCGTTAATCATGTAAAGTCAAGGGTTTAAGGCAGTTGGTGGTTATACAAAACACAGGAATACTTTCTTACTTGCCCTTTGGTTATTGCATCTGATCTCAACTATGTGACTTAACAGTACTCTATAGTATCACTTTACCATACCACAATATGTAAACAGCTGCCATAAACTAGTTTACAGGTGCTGGTCATATAATTAGAATATCATCAAAAAGTTGATTTATTTCAGTAATTCCATTCAAAAAGTGAAACTTGGATATTATATTCATTCATTACACACAGACTGATATATTTCAAATGTTTATTTCATTTAATTATGATGATTAAACAGACTAATGAAAATCCCAAATTCAGTATCTCAGAAAATTTGAACATTACTTAAGACCAATACAAAAAAGGATTTTTAGAAATGTTGGCCAACTGAAAAGTACGAACATGAAAAGTAAGAGCATGTACAGCACTCAATACTTAGTTGGGGCCCCTTTTGCCTGAATTACTGCAGCAATGCGGCGTGGCATGGAGTCCATCAGTCTGTGGCACTGCTCAGGTGTTATGAGAGCCCAGGTTGCTCTGATAGTGGCCTTCAGCTCTTCTGCATTGTTGAGTCTGGCGTATCGCATCTTCCTCTTCACAATACCCCATAGATTTTCTATAGGGTTAAGGTCAGGCCAGTTTGCTGGCCAATTAAGAACAGGGATACCGTGGTCCTTAAACCAGGTACTGGTAGCTTTGGCACTGTGTACAGGTGCCAAGTCCTGTTGGAAAATGAAATCTGCATCTCCATAAAGTTGGTCAGCAGCAGGAAGCATGAAGTGCTCTAAAACTTCCTGGTAGACGGCTGCGTTGACCTTGGACCTCAGAAAATACAGTGGACCAACAGCAGCAGATGACATGGCACCCCAAACCATCACTGACTGTGGAAACTTTACACTGGACTTCAAGCAACGTGGATTCTGTGCCTCTCCTCTCTTCCTCCAGACTCTGGGACCTTGATTTCCAAAGGAAATGCAAAATTTACTTTCATCAGAGAACATAACTTTGGACCACTCAGCAGCAGTCCAGTCCTTTTTGTCTTTAGCCCAGGCGAGACGCTTCTGACGCTGTGTCTTGACACAAGGAATGCGACAGCTGAAACCCATGTCTTGCATACGTCTGTGCGTGGTGGTTCTTGAAGCACTGACTCCAGCTGCAGTCCACTCTTTGTGAATCTCCCCCACATTTTTGAATGGGTTTTGTTTCACAATCCTCTCCAGGGTGCGGTTATCCCTATTGCTTGTACACTTTTTTCTACCACATCTTTTCCTTCCCTTCGCCTCTCTATTAATGTGCTTGGACACAGAGCTCTGTGAACAGCCAGCCTCTTTAGAAATGACCTTTTGTGTCTTGACTTCCTTGTGCAAGGTGTCAGTGGTCGTCTTTTGGACAGCTGTCAAGTCAGCAGTCTTCCCCATGATTGTGTAGCCTACAGAATTAGACTGAGAGAACATTTAAAGGCGTTTGCAGGTGTTTTGAGTTAATTAGCTGATTAGAGTGTGGCACCAGGTGTTTTCAATATTGAACCTTTTCACAATATTCTAATTTTTTGAGATTCTAATTTTGTGGTTTCATTAGTTGTCAGTTATAATCATCAAAATTAAAAGGAATGAACACTTGAAATATATCAGTCTGTGTGGAATGAATGTATACATTATGCAAGTTTCACTTTTGGAATGGAATTACTGAAATAAATCAAGTTTTTGATGATATTCTAATTATATGACCAGCACTTGTACACTCACTCTGGTAGACTTCAGTTACTGCTGAACTGGAACTCTACTTTACTACTTGCAATATCAGAATATATCAATAATATAGAATAATATCAAAAGCTGCATAGTGAAATTTCTGAAATTCTTGTTAGTTGAATTGTCATGTTTGTTTCAACTCTCCTGAAGTTTAATTTCTTAATCGAAAATTTAAGAACCCCTAGAAATAAGAAATGTTAGTTGGAAAGTCACAATGTGCAAAGAACATACTTTATGTTTCATCGTATTATCATTGTTATGCCTGTTGTTTTAATTTAAATGCTAAAGATGAAGTAATTTTGTAACCTCTAGTTGCTCCAGAGGCGTGCGACCTTACATAAATTAGCAATTGTAAGCCGCTTTGGATAAAAGCACCAGCTAAATGAATAAATGTTTTAATAAAGGTTTTACAAAAACTACAATATGCTCATAAAATATGTTGCACTATTAAGAATTTAAGACAGTCAGCAGAATGTGGTGTAACTGGATCGGCCACAAAATCTTATAATTTTTAACAAGTTACAGATGTTATCAAATGTGATCTTTTCCTCAGTCCCAATGTGCAGGTGTTAGTATTTCCAGTAAGAGTGACATTTTGTAAACTAAGTAATTAATTAAAACAAAAGAAAAATGTGAACCATTTCTCACAATGACTTCTTTTTAATGACACAGTGAGTTGTGAATGTGTGATTTCTCTGAAGCTGCAGTCATTCCTCTTTTAGAAACAACCTAGTTTCATGTGAAAGCCACTACTGAAAACAATTAGCTTAAACCTGTCAGCCAATCAGAGGCAGAGTAGGGTGTTTTGTTTGTTTCAAGTCCGCCATTATTATCCTGCCATAATCATTTACAAGAAAGTTAAGTAACAGCTAAGAACATAAGCCCCCACTACACGCGGGAGTGCGCAGTGCTGCTCATTATTACTACTATTGCACCGTAGCAGTTTATTCCCTCAGTGAAGAAGATATAAGATTAGAGTGCTGACTGGTTTGAGTGTTGGAGAGTGAGCTTGTGGTTGTGGTTAGAGTGTGTGTGAGTGAGGAGAGACTGTTAATGTGTGAAGCATCTTCACACATTTACAGCCTCTCACATAGATGAGTCCTTCCCTTCTGACAATGTGTCATAGAACATCTTTGATAAGAGATATCTTTAAAACATTACAAAACTAATTTCTTTATAAATCTATAAAAGTTTAAGGCCTTTAGTCATGTCAGAGTTTCCTCCTGCTTCATGCTCATGCAAGTATTTGGGATTCATATAACGTACTGAAATGACCAGAAGTATTCTGTTAAAACATACTGATAAGTATTTATGTCTGGTTTAATGCTGGCAGACACAGCCAGCTAGCATTTAATGTAAACTGGCTTACTTGTGCATTTGTGATTCTATTACTTGGTTTTGGTTTTCAGGCTGTTCGTTTGGTTCTGAATAAACTGTTCCTTGACTAGGGAGATAAACCCAACACAGGTGAATGCACACGACCTTGTGAATAAGTGTTCATGGATACACACCACACAAACACGTATGTTACATGCATACACACACTCATAAAAAAGCACACTCATGCTATGAAACTGCAGTCCGCCCACATAGTTTGGATGTGTAAATGTGCAAATTGTGCGTGAGGACTTGTGACTTTCTTATTCACGAATGCAAGGTATATATAGTAGACCATTAGTCCTGAACACATGCTGAGGACCAGTAGTCTGATCAAAATCTGGTGAGTTTAACTTTCTAATTAACTTTTGATATAAAATTTCTGGACATTTTGGCATTTACCATGCCAATGTTTTAATTTATGTTCGTAACACAGTGTTCATTATTGTAGAATTTTTTGTGTATGTGCGTTTATAGAGGAACTATTTTTCTGCCTGCAATGATGAAGGGAAACATGATGGTCTTTGCTCCACTGTGTTTGCTCCTTTGCTGGATGCTGCCTGTAGACTCCATGATGGTAAGTGGAACATGTGAAAAATCAGTGGACATTCCCAAAATGTCAGGGGTGTTTACAAAATTACTTTTAAAAAACACCACATCAGAAAAGGTTTAGCAATGAATTTTCTTAATTTAGAGATCAGGTGCATTTAAGCATAAATACAATTTAGTTAATTTGTGCTAATAGCTCTTCTATATGCAATCAAATAGGTTGAGGCACCAGTTATAAGCACAGACCCTGCATTTTGCACATAGCATTTGTTGCATGGGTACCTTTTGTTCTACTGTTATTTACAGTGACATTGTGCAAGTGTTAGCTTAAATATTTTGGCTGCAATGTTGCTTGGATACATGAAAACTGCAATGACATACATGCTGTCATCAAGGCCGGGTTTTTATGTAGACATAAAAATAAAGAACTGTTTTAACAGTGTCTGTTCATTTAATGACCTCTCTTCATCTTTCCATTGTTCCCCCTTTAGATCCGTTCCAACTTAATTCTACAAGATGCCAAAATGAACACCACGTTGAGCATGGTTACAGAGTCAGTTGATGACAGCTACATCGGCTGCAACAAAGAAATGGCAGAAAAAATCTACAAGACATACTTTGAGGAAGAAAAGAATGCGTCACGATTTAGAGTCGCCTGGCAGGAAGCAGAAAATTGTAGTGAAAATAGCTTAAGAAATAGAGATAAAAAGGATAAGAATCTAACCAAAGATCACATGCAAGCAATCTGTGTTTATACATCTAGGTGTTTGTACAAGGAGTTTAATGATGCAGTCCGGACAGAAGGAAGGAATTACAATTCCTCATTCAAATTTCACTCTTTACATTTCCTGCTGACATCTGCCATACAGATCTTAAAACAATCCGGCAAACTGTGTTACTCTACTTACAGACGAACCAAAGTTGTGTTTATTGGCAAAGTCAACGACATATTTCGCTTTGGGTCATTTGCCTCCAGCTCTCTCAAAACAAACTTGAAAGACTTTGGTAACAAGACCTGCTTTAAAATTAAGACCTGTTACGGTGCTTATTTGAAAAATTATTCATATTATGATCAAGAGGAAGAAGAAGTGCTCATTCCCCCTATGAGAAGTTCAAAATAACTAAGACAACTAATGGTCAGAGTACAATTCAAGGTCTGAATGATTGTGAAATTGTCTATGAAGTGGAAAGTGTAGGGCAGGAGAGCAATCTGAAGTGCATGCTTGTGAGCTGATACCTGGTGTGAGATGCAACACACCTGAGCATGCGGGGCTCCTTCTCCTGGCCTGCCGACTGATTCTGTTCAGTTTGTTTCTTTGTCTTTTACACCCATACACACCTACAGTTGTATATTTTGCTTAATTTACTTATTAAAATATCTAGTATTACCTTCATACCCTCTTTCGTCCAGTGTTTTTTCTCCAACTGGTGAAAAAAACATCCTGCCATCTTCAAACCTTTTAACGCTCTCACAACTTAATTAATTATGATATATAACATATCTAAACATTATCTTCAATCTATAACTTGCTCAGAGTTTGTTTCATCATTGTGGGCTTTTGTTTTACGCAGTCCTCTAGCAACATGTTACTGTGTACAAGACATTTTTGATAAGTTGCTTGAATTTGTTGGAAAAATTCCTGCTTTTGTAAAGTGAATTCTATCATTAAACTGCTTAATGCAATATTATTGCTTGTATGCTCTTATTTCTTTGTGTAATGTTTATTTCATTACATACACTGACCTTGAAACCTAAAACTAATAGCTGGTGCTTCTGTTACAGTCAAAGATAATGGAAGACAATCATTTTCCAAATGGAACATTTTTAAAATCTTTCAGTGAACCCCATCATCAAATAAAATTTTTATCCTTTCAAACAGAGTGGCAAAGTTGGAGAGAATATACTGGGCGGTCAGGGTTTTGTCCATTTTCACATTGACGGTGTTTCGGGCATTTTAGAATTTTAAGGTACAACGCTGTACACAGAAGTCGACCATGTTTTGGGTGGGTTGCCTTCCGCTAACTCCACAGTTGCCTTATTTACATGTTGTATCCTCGTAGTTTTCAGATTAAAACCAGATGTGTGCCTGTTTTTTGTTATTTCTTAATCCTATTATGGAGTTTGTCTTAAATGGGTGACACCTGCAAAACCACCATTATGCACTTAAGTCTATCAAAAACAGTGTTGGGCAGAAAGGAAGAAAGACGAGAGTTAATGGCTTTTTACTTGCGAGGAGAACGGACAGAGATGTACTCAGTTACAAACTCCAACCGCTCTGAGGTATCTCTTCCGTTTCCTCTCTTTTTATTATATTCAGGGCGTTCCTAGTTACATGCATGTTGCTGCTCTAAGGGAAAGGGGGGTGCAGCAGCAACATGAAACGTGATCAACGTGACATACATTATTGTACAGTATTGTTCCAGGAACTATGTACGTTAAGCTCAGTCGCTCCTCAGGGCCAGGACTCGGGTTGCTGTTATTTTGTTGTTGTTGTTGTCTGCTCCGTATGTCATTTCCTTCAGTCACACCATCCGCTGTAGACTTCCTGTCAGTACATTTCTGCAGACAGACTTACACACTTGCATTAGTACACGTCTGGAGAATATATATATATATATATATATCTTGTTTCAGATTGCATGAGCGAGTGTAAATGTAAGATAACTCATATACATACTGGTTCCAACATTTCCCTCCTGTTTATCACATATTTGCTCACATTCTCATTTCACTTGAGCTCAGTCACTTCGTTTCAAGATTTTCGACTGCAAGGTCATTTTTATGAGCCCAAATATGTTTAAACTCAGAGTTATGTTGTATTTTATACAAAGGAGACACGCTCATAATCTATCCTCATTATCTGTATCACTATCACTCGAGTGATCCATATCACCTAAGAGTGGATACAACTGAGACATTCTGTGTTCAACAGGTGATATAGCGGTGGTACTGAGTCGATGCAAAAACGTCCGCAAACAGGGGATAAAACAACATCCGCATAAGGTCAGAACCACAACGAGGACTGTTAGCGATGTTAGGGCTGAGGTCACCATGACTTCCTGTCTTTCTGATCATTTGTCATATACCACGTATAGGTGGCGTACTCACTGCCTTTTATGCCCTTACTAGTGAGACTAGAAAAGGGGATCACAACTGACACGCTGGTATTCGTTGGAATGCACACTTGTAGTCCATGTGTGTAATAATTGTTTTCTTGGCAAAACCCTGTCTCTGATACAGGTAGAGGCCAAACCCCCAGGTACGTCAGCAGCATTACCATCCACGCCTTATGGGCCATTCCTCCCGCTTTGCTCACCTACTAAGGTTGGCAGCCCGTGGTTTTCTTCACTGACTTTCGGGCCTATCCAGGTTCTAAACGTCTGAATCCACCCTATTATCAGACTTTGGCTTGCCTTCCTTGTTGGAGCTTGTAACAGCAGAAATGACCTTTTTACAGTGAGTGAGATGAATCCAGGTAGACCTCTCAGCTATTTTAATTGCTGTGGGGGTGGTCAACAGTACCTGAAAAGGTCCTTCCCACTTTGGCGAGTGCCAGTGCTTCTTCTTTATACTTCTTACTAATGCCCAATCGCCTGGCTCCACTAATTCAAGTGCCTGGTGGGAGACAGAAGATACGTCATTAACATTCTTTTGTTGTTGTTTTTCTATGATTTTTCTCATATAATCAGCCAGACATTGGTTTTTAAACTGTGGTAGTCTATATGGTCGCCTGAAGATAGTCTTGTATGGAGTTAACCCTGTTGTGCTCGTGATGTTTATATACATTTTCACAAGATCCAAGCATTTAGTCCATGGTCTTCCTGTTTCTTCCATGCACTTTTTCAATCTATTTTTTATAGTTCCATTCATGCGCAATGGTGTTTTAACTTCATGTGGAACATTGTTCCTATTTTTTCGATTAATTGATTGACAAAGTGTGTTCCATTATCACCATAGATTGTTTCTGGGATACCATATCTTGGAATGATATCTTTGCATAATGCTTTCGCAACTGTTAGTGCGTCAGGATGTTGGGTGGGAAACAGTTCTATCCATTTTTTATTATCACTAGACAGTACTTTTTACCTTCGCTCTTGCTCAGCTCTATGAAGTCCATATGTATTATTTGGAACGGATACTGGGGTTCAGGAAACCGACCTCTCTTTGGGCGTAAATTACCTTGTGGATTATGTTTAGCGCAGGTCAGGCATGCTCTACAGAAATTTTTTGAAAAGGTGTTGAAACCAAAGGTAGTGTAGTATTGTTGTACTTGAGTGACCATCTCTCCTGTTGAGACATGAGTTACTCCATGGCTCAATATCGCCACCCATTTGTTCCTAGGAAGTATAGGTTTATCAGCTGGTCAGACATACAGGTCACCTTTCAACTGTGCGCCATGACATAACCAGACGTCTTTTTCAGTCTGGGGACTTTGTTGTTGCATGTCTTTAAGAATCGAATGGTCTAATACGTCGTGTGTTATTACTGCAAGAACATTGTGTTTCCCCGTAGCTGCTGCTTTAGCCATTCTGTCTGCAAAAGCGTTTCCTACAGACACCTCATCCGTTCCAGATGTATGTGCTGCACATTTGCAGATGGCTGCTGTCTCTGGGAGCTGTACGGCATCAAGCAGTTCAGTCAGAATTTTGGCATGTGTTACTGGCTTCCCTGTAGATGTTATCATGCCCCCGTTTTTCCAGTACTGGGCAAACACATGCACAGTAGCATATGCATACTGGCTGTCTGTGTATATAGTGGCCGTCTTTCCTTTCATTAGTTTACATGCCTCAGTTAGTGCTATTAGCTCGGCTGCCTGTGCAGAGCAACTGGGTAGTACTTGTTCCGCTTTTAGTACTGCGGTCTTTGTCACCACAGCATAACCTGTTAATGTTTCTCCGAACTCATTTTTTCGCGAAGAACCATCTACAAAGATAACTTCCCCTTCCTGGAGAGGTTGATCTTTAAGGTCAAGTCTACTTTAGTTGTTGCTTCAGCTACTGTCTGACAGTCATGCTTTTCTCCGTCGTCCGCTGTTCAGGGTGGTGCATCTTTCTATAGTCACATGTGGTTGTGACAGTAAAACTGACATACAGGAAAGATGTCGAGCGGGTGACAAAAACATCATGTTTGTCTGGAGAAGTAGAGCTGAAACCGCATGCGGGACTTTTAAGGTCAGGGGATGAAAGAGTACTATTGTAGCGCTTACTTCTACTGCCACTGAGGCTGCGATTACTGCGCGTACACAATGTGGTAATGCGCATGCCACACTATCCAGTTTAGAGGAAAAATATGCAATTGGTCTCATTTTATCCCCATGTTGTTGAGTTAGTACTGATGTCATAAACTGTCCCTTACAGTGTACCATCTGGACAAAGGGTTTGTTATAGTCTGGTAGTGCTAGTGCTGCACTAGACACCAAGACTTGTTTTATTTTACGAAAAGCTTCTTCAGCTTCTTCTGTCCACTTTAGTAATGCGTTCATTTTAAGATCTTCTTCATACATCAGCTTGTTTAAAGGTGAGGTTATCTCTGCATAATTTGGCACCCATGTTCTACAGTAATTGGTTAGGCCCAAAAAGTACATCATTTGTTTTTTGGTCTGCGGTTTGGGTGCTTTGAGGACAGCTGCTTTTCTGTCCGAGATAAGTGTCCTTCCCCCTGCACTCAGACTATGACCTAGATATTTCACTTCCCTTTTGCACAGCTGAAGTAAATTTTTGCTCACTTTGTGGCCTTCTCTAGCCAAATGTTGCAGTAGTGCTACAGTGTCTTTCTTACAGGTTTTCTCATCAGGGGATGCTAACAGGACATCATCCACATAGAGCAGAATCTGGCTATCACCAGGTGGCTGGAATTTTCCCATACTTGCACTCATAACTTGTGAAGAAACAGTTGGACTTTCGGAAAAACCCTGGGGGAGCCTGCTATACGTATATCTTTGTCCCCCAAAAGTGAATGCAAACCAGAATTGACTATCTTTGTCCACTGGTACTGAGAAGAATGCGTTACTAATGTCCACTACAGTAAAACTTTGGGAGATGGGAGTATTACAAGGAGAGTCTTCACATTTAATTATTACTCCTGCTCGGAGTAAATCTTCTATTACTGGCTTTATTCCATCTTGTGTGTCCTGTTTTAGAGGATATTGTCTGACGTGGGGTCTATAATCTGATTTTGGTCTTATTTTTACAGGATCACGCCCTCTACTAGACCTACGTCACTAGGCCCTTTAGACCACACCTTCTCTGGGACATCTTGTAGCAGTTCTTCCTCTTCCTGCGTTAACACCATTATTTCTCATTCATCTATAGAATGGAGGTGTAGTCCTTCCTGGACCTGGGCTGACCAGAACAAAGCTTTCCTGGTCAATGCGGTTTTAGCACTTGACCACGTATTTACAGATGTGGCCACCCATCAGTCGCATTCTCTCCCTGCTGCACCATTTTTCCCAGATCTTTCCACTGCAGGTTTTTGCTTTTGTACAGGGAAACGTGTGGTGGCACCCACATTTTATACAGCTGCATGACTTTATCGGTCAGGGTTACTCCTGCGACTGATGTGCTGTCTGCATCAGAATACATGTAGTTTAGGGGGTTAACCCTAACCCCACTATTACAGACTACATGGATGCAATAAAGAAAAAATATGATATTTTCGTCGTCGCC